TACAAATCTTCAGATTGTTGCTGTTCTTTTAACACTGCACATTGCATTTACTCTGTGCAGCTTGTATATTCCTCCTTCATCCAATATTCGACAATAGGATCTTCAAAATATCTATGATCAGCTTCCAAAGCCATGTGTTATGATGGGCGACCGGAACGGACACAACCCGCTTTTGGGAAAGTGTCCATACTAATAATAAAGGTAAAATCCTTGAGGAATTCATTTCCGATAGTAATGTATTTATTTCCAATGACGACCCAGCCACTTATTTACATCCAGCTACGGGAACATATTCTTCCCTGGATCTGTCACTCGCCGATTCCAACTTATATAATGAATTTGAATGGATGGTCCATGATGACCTATGTGGGGGTGATCACTTCCCCACCATTCTCAAAAACATCAACCCTGGTGATGATCCTCCTGTATTAAGAAGAAACATTGCCAGGGCTGGTTGGTCATTATATAAGTGAGTGAGTTAAAATGTAAAGTCACATCGGCAATATTTCAGCCATATCGTGACTAAAACAAGTTTAGAATTCACCATAAATACATGTAAATTATAAAAACCTGTCATCGAAGGACAGTAAAACCGACTAGAATATCACAGTATCAAGAAATAAAACTAGCATCTCTCTCTAAAATTGGATTTTAAATATCGACAATACAGTATAAAAATGGGCTAAAGATCGCCAACAACTGAAGGTAGATCACCATACCAGGGACGGTCATTATATAAGACTCTGTGTGTTCCACACCGGAAGCATGATCATTTTAGGAACAGTGAAGATCCTATACAGTCGTTTTCGGCTGTACTAAATCACATTGCTGACAAAACAATTCCAAAGTCCTCTACAATTCCACATATTCGTAATTCGTGGTTCAATAATGAATGTAAACAGGCCAGAAAATGTAGGAAGAAAGCCGAAAAATATTTTCGCAAACATCCTACTGTCCATAATCTAGACAAAGTCAAACTTACCAACGCCAAGGCTAGACGTGCTTTTAAACAAAATAAGCGTCAGTCTTGGCGGAATTATGTTTCCAAAATAAATTCACGTTCACCTATGTCAAAGGTGTGGAATATGATCCAAAGAATAAAGGGCAAAGGTTCCATTGTTCATCATCTGATGGACGGTGAAACTATATTAACTAATAAAGCTGACATTGCAAATACACTTGGTGCAACTCTCGCCAAAGATTCATCTTCATCAAATTATGTTCAAAAGTATGAGAAACAACAAGAGAAGAAAAGAATCAATTTTAACTCAGACTATGGTGAAGATTATAACAAATTATGTTCGTTACATGCTTTGAGCAAGCTTATGATACAGCAACAGGAGCTGATAATAATCACTATCAGCTCTTGAAGCATTTGCCCGAATCATGTTTAGAAATCCTTTTAGAAATTTTTTGATCAAATATGGACTTCAGGGAATTTTTCCCAACTTCGTTGTTGTTGTCCCTATTCCAAAGCCTGGCCGGGATCATACTGATCCGTCTAATTACAGACAAATCTCTTTAACGAGTTGTGTCTGTAAAACCATGGAACGAATGGTAAACAATAGATTAACATGGTATCATGAAACCAATAACGTTATAACAAATATTCAATGTGGTTTCAGGAAGAATCCTAGTACCATTGATCATTTGGTACGACTAGAATCCTTTGTTAAAATGCAATAGTAAATAAACAACATGCGATATCGATATATTTTTATCTTGAGAAAGCGTACGCTACCACCTGGAAGCATGGCATTTTAAAGTATTTACATGATTTTGGTTTGAGGGGTCGTTTACCTCCTTTTATTTTGCCTCTTTTTATATCACAGTTTTTTAAAAGACAGGCAATTTCAAGTCTGAGTGGGTTCAACCCTGTCTGACCATTTTAACCAGGGTCAGGGTGTCCCACAAGGCAGTAATTTGTCTGTCACATTGCTTAATATTAAGATCAACAGTTTATCCAAGGTTTTAAGTGATGGATCACTTTTTGTGGATGATTTTAATATTTCTTGTCGTGGTAAAAATATGCATGCTATTGAACGCCAACTGCAGTTATGTTTAAACAACATAAATGAATAAATGGTGTCTTGAAAACGGCTTTAAATTTACTAAGTCAAAAACTAATTGTCTACACTTTTGTAGAAACCGCATAAAGACCCTGAACTATGTTTTAATGGCACTCCCATCAAAGTTGTCAAGGAGGCCAAGTTCTTGGGGCTTTGTTCGATTCCCATCTAACATGCCTGCCTCTTATTTAATCTCTTAAAGCTAAATGCCTGAAGACACTCGATTTGTGAAAGGTTGTTTCAAATTTAAAGTTGGGAGGGGATCAAACTACCCCCTTCACTTATACCGATTATTGGTGTGATCTAAACTTGATTATCGCTCCAGTGATATGGTAGTTCCTGAAAAAGCAACCTAAAGCTACTTGATTCTGTCCACCACCAAGGTCTTAGACTTTGTCTTGGGTCTTTTAGAACTTCCCCTGTTGACAGTCCCTATGTCGAAGCAGGTGAGCCTTCTCTTACCCACCACCGTATAAAATTATCTTTACAATATCTTACAAAACTATATTCTAACAAGTCTAACCCTGCATTTAATTGTGTCTATAATCCTCTTCATGAGGATTTGTACAATAAAAAGTCTTCTCTTGTACCGCCACTTGGTTTGAGAATTAAACCTTACATTTCTGCTGCTGGCATTGAGCTGGAAAATATAGCTCCTTCCCGTCTTCTTTCTTCTTCTTCTTGGCACTTAATGAGGCCACAGGTTGACCTAACACTGACAAAATATAAGAAATCAGAAACTAATGAATTACAATATAAACAAGTAAGTGAGTGAGTTACAATGTATCGTCACATCGGCAATATTTAAGCCATATCGTAACGGGAACAATTAATTTTATACATAATAATAAATGGCAAATTGTAAAAACCTGTCAACGAAGGACAGTAAAATAACTAGATTATCAGAGATTCGAATTTAAAACTAGTCATTAAATCTAAAATTGTAGATGACAATACAAGGTAAAAACAGGCTATATACTGCCAACAACTGAAGGTAGATCACCATACTAGGGACTTACAGTACATTTGCTTCCTGCATGGACCCTAGCTGGATTTACACCATCCCCTCGGCCATTAGCGGTTTAGACATATTTAGCCATATATTAAAAACACACATATTCTACGATTAAAAAGGTTGGATTGATTTAAATTGACTAGGGACTTACGTACCCTCTCAGGAGGACAATAATGTTACCAATAAAGACAAAAATATAATCAATGAAATAGTACATATAATACATACAAATCCTTATTTTCAGATGGATCCAAGGATGGTGGCGCAGTGGCTTGTGCCACTGTCATTGGATCCAGAACAATACCCTCCAGATTACCTGATGACAGCTCAATATTCACAGCAGGTGCAAATGCAATACTAAGAACTCTTAAATATATTAACATACATCCTAAAAGTAAACAATAAATCATATTTTCTTATTCTCTTTCTTGCCTTCTTCTTAAAATCGTTCTTGTGTACATCCACTTTTAACTATATGATGATCTTGCTACTGGCCAATTAGACATCGTCCTCTGTTGGTTACCCAGCCACGTTGGCATTTTTGGGAACACAATGGCCGATCTTGCTGCCAAGGCAGCACTCAACAAATCTGTGACACCACTTCTTATTCCTTACTCTGATTACAAAGCTAGCATTAGCCCTTACATCCGTGATCTGATGCAGAAGAAGAGGGACACCCAAGTAGGTATCAATACATTACATGAAATAAAACCTTATATTGGTTACATCTACTTGGGTTGTCAGTTCAGATTTGAGGAGGTCATCATGCGACGATGTCGCATTCGCCATACGCGTTATACTCACAAATGCCTGTTAAAAGGTGAAGATCGTACGTTTTGTATCCCTTGTGATGAGAGAACCACGGTGAAGCATGTCCTGCTTGACTGTGTTGAATTCTCCATCAAAAGGGATAATATTTCAAAGTAAAAAAGTGTTTAGGATCTTTTTATAATGTCAATTACATTTTATTATTTAATTTTGAAAAGAAATAGAACTGATGGATGAATTTTGATTCATATGTTTTGTGCATACATACATGTTTAGTATTGGTGATTTAAATGAGAAACTGAATTCATCAGTAGCTGTACCTTCGAAGGGGGTTGACGTAGCGTAAAAATATTGTCCTCCTGAGAGGGTACGTAAGACCCAAAACATTTCAAGTAAATTTAAGGCTACCATGTTTTAATCGTAGTATTTTGTCATTTTAATGTATGGTCAAATCTCAGCATAAACGCCAATGGCTGAAGGATGGTGTAAATCCAGCTAGGGTCCATGCAGGTAGCAAAGGCACTGTAGGTCCACATGGTGCCTAGTATTGTGATCTACCTTCAGTTGTTGGCGATCTATAGCCCATTTTTTACATTGTATTGTCAAAAATAGTTTTCTGTTTTTAAAGATATATACTAGCTAGTTTTAACTCATTTTGTGATAAACTAGTAATTTTACTGTCCTTCGTTGACGGATTTATATATTATATGTATGTATTATGAATTTAAAACTGGTTTTAGTCATGATATGGCTGAAATATTGCCGATGTGACGATAAATATTAACTCACTCATTCACTAATTCTGACAATCCTGAAACCTATTATCACCAAAGACGACTTTTATATTCTGCTAAACCATTTTTAATAGCTCACAACACGGACATCCTTTGTAATACAAGAGTCTTACCACCTGGGACAATTACTGCTGCATATTGATAAACCCGCTTATGTAACCTGAACTGTAATAACACTGCAAGGCCCACATATATATCAAATATATATATCCATTTATAATAAGACTCATGCATATGTACATTAGCTTTTCAGTATTTGAATATCGGCCTGCTCATTATGCTTGCGTGGAAGTCACGTCACGCCGTTATCATCCTGCATGCTCTGTACGAAGCATGCTTTCAGCGAACAATTTGGGAAGTGACTCATATATACAAACTGCAACATGATCTGACAAATGACCATCTGTTTGCGTGGATTTGTTCAGCTGATTTGAATTGTAAGTATGCCATACCTTTACTGTGTTATTTTGACAATCACGAGACACTGACTACAGTTTCATTGTAATCTTCGGGAATGACAACAGGTGTCCTACTCTGATAACCAAAGGGATGGCATCAATCCTGCTGGCAATTCATGTAGGAAGCAAAAGCACTGTAAGCCCCCTTGATTCCTAGTAAGGTGGCCAAACGTTGGTTGTTAGTGGCTGATTGCCTGCTTGTAATCGATAACAATGAATCTATTAATTATCTGTCTATCGTCAGGTTTTTAAAACTATGATATACCTAACGATTTTGCTGTTTTTGTCGACAGATGTTTTATCATGAATACCTTTTTACATCTCTAAATGGCTGGAATATTGCTGACGCTATGTAATATTCTAACTCTCTCACTACCATTCTTAACACCCCACCACTTCCGTCTCCCTCTTCAACAGAATGCGTCTGCCTGATATTCTGTCAAATTGTTGTGATCAAATAGCACCTTGCCCCACTTCTATTTCGCAAAGAAATATTCATTTCTTTGTGAAACGCGTTATGGAATGGCAGCACGTATATCAGATCGATGCAGGTTGTTTTTTACATTTACATATATTTATATGTCAAGTTTCGTTACAGGTGTAAACCTATGCTAACCATGGAGAGCAATCAGGAGAGTGATGTAGGAGTTCCCATGACAGAGTTAGATTGTCCAGGAGGAGATAGAAGTGAACCTACACGACAGAGAGACTCATGGAGCAGACATCTGGACTACATGCTGACAATGGTTGGCTACTGTGTTTCATTAGGAAACCTGCTGAGATTCCCCTATATCTGCAACAGAAACGGTGGAGGTAAGCCTCCAGTGGTATCTGTATAATATACGATGCCATCTTGTAAACGTGGTATTGGGTCCAATAAATATCTGTGTGATGTTGCATTTACCAGAAACCATCTTCTACACCCAATATTAATTGATTCCATTGAGTTAAAAGATGTATCATCTAATGGAGGGTGTTATCGGTGCAATAAAGCTATCTGTAAACTTGGTATCCAAATCTGATAATCTGCAAATTACGTCAATCCACGAACTACATTATCAAAACTCCATACATGCCGTGCGAATCCTAAAACGTTTAACATTTCATTGATGACGTCGTCGCGAGTTTACGGTGCGTCGACGAGTTTGTAAACAAACATGGCTGCCCCCATTATCAATACTGGTGATCTGTAGAATTGGTGACAGAGGTTCTGGAGTCGTTACTGCCGTAATTGGAAAACATGAAACGGAGAACTTCGTTCAACTTAAAGGTACGGATTATGAGGCACGAGCGACAGCCTATCGTCTAAGATAGGTACCAAACAAGGATTTCGATCTATCGATCACAACAACGAATCGATTCCTTCAGGTATCAGAAACTGATTACCCGCAATGAAAATAGAAACACTACCTAGAAAACCCTGCCTGATGTTGTTGTTCTTTTTGTACAGAAAGATTATGTTTTAGGTATGAGAAATGTTTTTTGCACTGTATTAGCTTCTAGTCACAACCATATGCGGCCGTCGTGAACGACCTTCTCCTTGGTGTACCACTAAGTATTCTTACGCGAATGCTCAATTCTCTTCATATGTAAATTCACGTACGAAGTGCATCTTTTTTAGTAATTGAGTAATTTTCAGATTGACATATGCTAAAGAGATTATTAACCGAGTGTGTTTCCGTATCATTAATATCATATATTAAGAATAAAAATATTATGCTCGCCAAAGGAATAAAAAATGTATTATGCGAGCCTTTGGCGAGCATAATACATATTTTTATTCCTAATATAGGATATTAATGATACGGAAACACACTCGGTTAATAATCTCTATGTATCCTACACTTGTAATTATGTGATGTACAACTAAGAAATGTGTGTGTACCTGGAAAATATGAACGCAAGGCTGAATAATTGCGAAGCGCTTTTCCATATATTTTGCAAAATACTTGGTTGTATCAAGAAACGCGTTTTCCATGCATTCATTCGATACCAAAGAACGTGAATATAATAAACGTCTTGATACCAGCCCGCTAGTGTTCAGTCGTCTCGCTTTAGGCCCTTGACCATTCCCCCTCAGGACGCCATCCACCATGATATTGCTGGAACTGGCCTAAAATGGCAGAATGTGTACTATAAATGTGTGATGTGGAACGGTGTGTTTATGTGAGATATGTGATCTATGGAACAGGCCTAAAAGTGGGGCAAACTCCAACATTCCCATTCACCCACTTTGAACTTCGTTTGTCGTATCGATTTAAATTCTAATCGAGTTTTCTTATAATTATATTCATATACATGTTTCTTCCAGGAGCTTTCCTGATCCCATTCATCTTGCTACTGCTCATTACCGGATTTCCAAGTTTCTTCTTAGAATCGATAATCTCTCAGTTCTCGGGAAAGGGCGCCAAACAAGTTTGGAGCTTTTGCCCTTTGTTTAAAGGTCAGCAAATCTATTTGCAATGAATATTATATGTTGTTTTCTCACTGACCATCTAGAACATTCAACGTAAAAAGTTGAATGGCTTCTTGAACGAATATATTTCCGTATTTTACCACAATGCATTAAGTAATATCCAGAATTATCAGAATCTTAAGCCTTCACAAATCACAAATTATTATCTGATTTTAGCCTACCTTTATATCCAACTCTCACAAGACACATCCACGCAGACACCTGTCTTCGAAATTCCGTGGTAGAACAGGTTCCTATCAATCAATAGAAATTACAAATGGTGAGTGAGTGAATGAAAATTTTACGTCGCATGGGCAAAATTCAGCCATATGTTACGAGAATTTGAAAATAAATATTAAATGTACTTCGAAAATGAAGCCCGTCATCTATAGACAGTACAATCACTAGATTATCAGGTATACAATTGAAAAGCATAAATCACTACTCAACAACACCACCCATAAACGGACGATATTTAGTCAACAACTGAAAGTGTATCACCATACTATAAACCACAGGGATGTGCTACCTGAATCGCCCCTGGCTGGATTTAAACCATCCCCTCGGTAACTGCTGACAATGGATGAGTCAAGCCAAATTTTGAATAAAACATGCGTCACATTTAAACTCTGGCATACATATGGACATTTCAAATGGTGAGACGACTAAACTGAATAATTACACTATGCATTATCTGACACGTGACTCAATTGTCACCATATTATGGAAATGTCACGGTCACGTTATGCTAACCCAGGATAAAGATATACAGTGGAAACCCGATAAGTAAAATTTCAAGGGACTTGCCAAAAGTGTTTATTTGTCAGGTAGTTTACTTATTAAAACTTATCAAAACCTGCAAATGACAACCATATGCATGTATATGTTTCCAACAGAATAACAGACACCATTTGTAACTAATATGACATGTTTTATTCCATAAAATTACATTGAGTAAAGTAATACATTTATAATACAAAGCAATATCAAACATAATCAAACAAAATATTTCAGTCACAGTCTAGCTTAGAACTCCACAAAAGCTGTCATGAGGGATTGTCTCCTGGCAAGCATCTTTTCATTTCCTTCTCGGCACCATGTTGTATCCTGTCATGACAGTTTCTACATCGTCTTGCAAAATCACGTATATGTGTATATTGTTCAATCAGGGATTGGGGTTGGCGCAGTAGTAGTTGCATGTTCTTACATGCCCTACTACAACCTCTTCCTGGCCTGGCCCATCTACTACATGGTGAAGTCCTGCTCCAGCGTCCTGCCCTGGACAACGTGTAGCAACAGCTGGAACACTGACCTGTGTGTGGAAGACGTGAATACATTTTACGACAGCAACATGACAACCGTGGCAGGGAATACATCAGATACAGTGACTACAGCCAAACTGTGGGAAAATGTGACTCTGGCTCATACACCTGCAGAGGAGTTTTGGCAGTAAGATGTATCACGTCATAATTCCTTTTGTGATACAGACCAATCTTCTTTCGTCAAAACAGTTAGTGTTCCCCATATGACCATCAATTGTATTTCCATTATGACAGGTTATGGTATAGAAAATTAGTATACATCAAACCCTATATTATACACGTATATAAGACTGTACAGATGAAACCCAAACATAAGGTGTATCTGCAAGGTAATGAGGTATGTAGTAGTAACAATATCTGTAAACTATCAACACATTATATTGAAATACAAAAAGTGTTTTAATGAATGTGCAGAAATTATCACACTAGCCTGTCTGGACTTTGCCCGTATTTCTAATCTTGAATCCAGAAAGCACCAGGAAAGTTGGCAGGACAACTGTTTTCTGATAAGTATCTCGTCCACACTGGGAAATTAGATAAATCGCGTTGTTTAAGAAGGGCATCAGCTCGCCCGCGTCTCGCGCTTCAATAGGCATAACCAACCGTCCATAAACTGTATTTTTTCAAAGCACTTCATCGAGCAGAGTTTTCTTGAAGTTGCTCAAAGGGGATGTTCTACTTACATGTACTGCACTTATCTTATCATTTGAAGAAAGCCAAAAGACACAGTATACCCCATTAAACTGATCACATAACCTTCTTTGATATTTGACTTATGTTACCCGATATCCGTTTGGGGTTTGACAACCAGTCTCACTCACCATGTTTGTTTTTAGGTACAATGTACTGAGTGTCTCAACAGGCTTGGAGGATGTGGGATCTGTACAGTGGCACATAGTTGGATGTCTGTTTGTTTCATATATAATAATATTTCTATGTCTTGTACGTGGAATCAAGTCAGCTGGTAAGGTAATTCCCAAGCGAGTACCACTTGTGATTGCTAACATGCAAAATGCCACGAGTTACCTTTCACTTTATTATGAACAACATGCCAACAGGTCATTCTTACCATTTTTTTACCAAAGAGCATGTTTTATCGACAAACGTTTCATAAAGCATCACATTGCTTACAGAAACTCATCCATATTTGGATGATATTTCCGAAAACAACGAAAAGTGTTGTTAGCAGGGTTTTTATCACTGACATGGTGTAATTGCTTACATTTCTACGGTTCCGTGTGTAAATATGTGTAACCATTGCCACAGCTTATTATTTAGTCAGAATCCATCTTACTCCAAGTTACAAGACCGTCATTACATGTAATCATGTAACCAGAAGATATTTTCCCTGACCACAGGCTGTTTATGTGACTGCACTTTTGCCGTACATCCTCCTAGTCTCCATCTTCATCCCAACACTGCTGCAACCAGGTGCTGTAGATGGCTTACACTTCTATGTCATACCGGACTTCAGCAAACTGCTTGATATACAGGTGTGTTATAAACTACAAAATTAAGCGCAGGGAATTCTAACTTCAGAACAATTCTTCAATGAGAGGTAACATAACCACTTCAGAAAAGGCAATAGGAAAGACACTTCTAGAACCGAGACATTAATACTCTGATAATAGCGTTTTATCTGATTATTCTTCTTGTCGGCAATATTTGAAGAGAGTAAGCGAGTTAAAGTTTAAAGGCATCAGCAGTATTTCAGCAATGTCTTGACTTTGAAAGATATGTATCAATAAAACTCAACTGTTGACAAAAGGACAGTAAAAAACCAAAACCAAAGACCAAAACTACAATGTCAAAGATTTACCGATTGTTTGCTAAAACTAGAATGTTATCATAAAAAATAATATCACAATGCAGAAAGACATAATATATACACTGGCTAGAGATTGCTAGCGGCGCAAGGCAGATCACCATTCTAATGGCCATGGGAACTTACAGTACCTTTACTATTGAAACAATGCAATACTGCGAGTAACACGGTCTCATGTACAATATCAGGGGACAATACTCTTACTGCACTTCAACCCCCGATCAAGGGCACTGCCACGAACAATCCCAGTTAATGATCATATACTACCTACATAAAGTAACATACTGGTACTTTGTACACCGACAATTATCTAGACAGTTGCCTTAAAACAATATTTTAACTAAAACTGCTGCCATTAAAAATATACTTCTTAGATGATGATTTGATAGATTGATCCCTTGTGATGACAAACACAATGCAGTCAAGTAGGACACAAGGAATGTAAACAGGAGGACCATCACCTTCAATAAATATTCTTGAGTACATCGATCTTATCTGGCCAATGCGGCATCGGGTTTTTTCAAGCCTGGATTGAGAGTCAAAGTACTGTAACGAATAGTTTTATTGCATGTGGTGCTGTATGGCAGTGTTATTTTTTTTTATCAGTAAGTGACAGTGATCTGCCGTAAATAGACTTCGGCTACAACCCTAAAGCATCTTCAGTGTTGTAACAATGTAGAAAGATGTAGAAAACACTACAAGGCTTGTTCCAGAATTGTCTGTTTCAATCTAGAATTTTCCAGCATGTTTCTCTCAGGTATATAATAGGAGTAAACGTTTACCTCTTATCTCACGTTATATCCCAAGCCACACGAAGACCAGCATTTTACATGATGACCATTGACTATTGTAAACCGCCAGGCTTGTTGCAAGCTGCTTAAAAGACAATCACTGTAAGGTTATCAGAGGTGGCATCACAGATATGTTGATTGCTACCTCAGCAGTAGTACCATCGTTTGGGTTACCGGTGATTCCAAGACGGCTGGTTAACCTACCAAATACAAAGATATCTTAGTGACCATCTTAACCAATCATTTCAGTTAATAGTGAATGTCATGCACAAAAGAGTATCTGAAAATATTTTGAACTCTCCATATTTAGACAGGTTTTTGACATATTTTAGAGCTTACAGTTTTAGCTTCAACTGTGAAAATGGAACTATCTGGTAATCTCGAAGTTGTATTATTATTATCTTCTTGCCACTTAGCCTCCACATATAACCTATGAATCGGTGAATTTGTGAAGGCGCCAGGCAAAGCCCCATGAACAGAATTTAACATATATAAATTGATGGAGTCGTAATCAGTGGGTGAGCCGGGATTTACGCTTCTTTTAGCAATTCTCCAGCAATATCATTTCGGAGGACACCAGAAATGGGCTTCACATAATATGTATCCATGTTAGGAATTGAACCTTTGGCGTGATGAGTGATGGAGCCGCTTTTGGAAATATTGATGTTTTATCTGAGGACGGAGAGAAAAGTGGTGACAAAATACAATAGCAAGGAATTCGCTCCCTTCACAACTTAGTTCTGGATCATATTTCCGGCAAAGGTGGACACATATACAAATCGTCCACAAAACTTGATCCTTACAGGTGTGGCTGGAAGCATGTTTGCAAGTGTTTTATTCACTGGGACCAGGCTTTGGGATGATTGGTACTGCTGCGAGCTACAAACACTTCAATGAACCATGTCTCAGGTGGGTAGCTGTCTCTTGCAATTACACTACAAAGTAGAGCTCTGATACGAGCAAAGGTCAATGCCGCGTTACTAAAACCAGCTTCACACAGCTTTGGAAATACTACTTTTCTGGAAATATGATTTATAAGCCTTCTCTAGAATATCTCGGACTAATAACGGAACTGAGAAATTTTAGAAGCATTTCACTTACCGATTCTATGTATTAACATGCACAGACCCAGACGTTAATTTCATTTTTTATAATTCATTTCCGCCTGAAATGAACATACAGCGACTGAGTGAGTTAATATTTAACGTCACATCGGCAACATCTCAGCCATATCGTGACGAAAATGAACATACAGATATCTCCCCAAGACAAAGCCTGGGACCTGTTAACGAAACCTTTAGCCGCAACAATGTAAGTAGGTATGTAATCATGAACTTGAAAATTTGGAGATATGTATGCTTATATTCACAGAGATTGCCTCATACTGACAATAGTCTCAGAAGGAACCAGTATCTTCTCTGGCCTCGTGACGTTTGCTACCCTCGGGGTCATGTCACAGAAAACGGGTGTTCCAATTGAAACCGTTGTATCAAGTGGTAGGTAGTAGTAAGTGTAGCTGGAAGTAGCGCTGAGATTGATGTTGCCTTGAGACAAGATACAACATTTTAACATGCTGGCCAATGTCATTTCAATTTGACTTCTACCATATGTTCCTGTGCTCTAGGCGTTTGAAAGTGTATGTGATGGATGTCGCAGTTGGGCAGGTTGCCGTTGCTAGTTGATGGTGATTCACATGCACATCATCTTAATATAGTGGAATTGCACAATCGACACTGCTTACAGAAGAACTTTCTTTTGGTTATGTAAAGGTCTTTGTGAATTTTACTACACATTATCACCTTTTAATTATTTGGTGGAACCGTGACTCCTCTATTTAAAACGAATTACAGTTATTGCAAACAGTTCCAAACGTTACTCTATTCAATGACATCCTTGACTACTATACTTGGGAATCATTGCTTTATATGTGTCAAATACTGAATGATTTTATGCATAAAGTTATACATGAATACATGTATATTAATGCTGACATACGTCTCATCATACCCACTTACTGCCAGAGTGAGCTAATGTTTACTATTCTAAGCAGTATTGGTCAGATGTGTATTCAGTCAAAATCGTCTTTCCATTTATAGATGATTACATTGTTATCATAGAGATCTGTATGATATTTTCTGGAGAGGGTAATAAATCAACAGTTTTCATTTAAGGTCCAGGTTTGGGATTTGTAACCTATCCAGAAACCCTGGCACAACTTCCTCTTCCTCAGCTGTGGTCATTCCTGTTCTTTCTGATGTTGCTAACAGTTGGTCTGGATTCACAGGTACTGTCTGCGTGTATCCATGGAAGTGTTTGATATTGAATAATAAAGACGGCCTCAGGAAACTAACCAACTCCCAACCAACGACAATTTGTAACCAGCACTGAGCATTTCCAAACTAAAATTCAACTGTACAATGATATTTAGACTGATGTAAAACATGTCATTGTAATCCGCAAAGTGTCCAATGAACTGATGTTTCTTTCAGTTCATGGGTGTTGAAGTCGTTATTACTGCTCTGGTTGATCAGTATCCACAGCAGCTGGGCAAAAAGAGGATCCTTGTAACTGGAGGATACTGCCTCATCGCATTTCTTCTTGGAATCATATTCTGCACACAGGTGAATATACAAATTAGAAGATAGAATTTCTCCTCAAATGTAACAGCCATAGTTGCACAGCTGCATGCAAATACTGTGATTGTGTATTTACTAACAAAGGTCACAAAATGCTTCAGACGTCTGTGATATTCGTATTCATTCATGGAATTTGTGACTTGTTTTCTGGGAAGATTTATGGCACATGTCTTTTTGATAATGCGAACATAATTCAACTGACCACTTATGTGATGACTGCATATCTTTTGCTCGGAACTTCACGGATCAGTGGTAGTAATAGTAACTTCCCAAATAGGCTTTCTTGTCTAGGAATCCTTTGCGAAAAGAGATCTCCACATAACTGTTAGTCTTCGCTCAATGTGAGATGTAATGTCAGCGGTTCAAGACAAAAGTGTGACCATTTCATATGTAGAGGCCACAAAAGAATACAGACCTGCTTTGTTTGCAGGGAGGGCCGTACATGTTTCAGCTGGTGGACTGGTATATATTCTCCCTTGGACCAATGGTGATATGTACACTGGAGTGTGTCGCCGTGGCATGGATCTACGGTGTGTATGGCAAAACATTATTTGCATGCAAACCATGAAGCATATATCGGCATGGAAAGATAATTCTGATGTTGTTGTTTTTTCTCACACATTCAATACGTGCCACCTAGCTGCAGAAGGTTTTACTGCCATGAGATCGAGTTGGCAGTTGTAAGAATCGACGTTTTATATATAAGGTTCGTGATGGGTCAATATCATACACGTGACCTTAGGCAGCCGATCATATTACAGCAAAGAACCAAAACATTCAGCTTTATGTAAAATCGTGCTGTTCTGAACGTGTTAAGAAAGTTATTGAACCCCATACGTAAAATATGAAACTTTGTAGACGTATCGTGCAAGGTTGCTACCTGTGACCAATAAAGTCTCATGCATATATTGTCGCATTAAACATCGTGTACCATCGTGAAGATCGGGGTGACGACTTACATTACATGATCGCACGAAAATGTGGAAATTGAAACGTTTGACAACTTTTATGAGTACTTTTGTTGAATTTATTCATTAGTTTATTATTTATTTATGATTTCATCGAACCATCGATGCATCGTTATTTTGCTATTTGGCAGTTTAGATGTGACCTGTACGAAGCATATGTACGAGCACTGTATATTTAATAACATTGTGAAAAATGTCTATGGCCAATTTAAATGTAACATGTGTTTTTTAGACATTGTGAAAAAGTGATATATCTAATGAATGAATCATATGTCAGGTAGGTTCTTAAAATTATATGTCTGGTCGGTGATCCGGCTTCCGGTGGCTGGGCACCAATTATCGAGCCTGTGGCGTTGAATTCGTGAAATTTTCTAATTTGGAATGGCAAGGCCGATGGGTATCCCGGTTAGGGTCCAAGGTAAACTAGGCCGGGAGACATACTCGATCGTGTGGTTACCTTGGTGTCCTAGTTTGATGGCGTTGAGCATTCAAGATATCAGTCACTGGATTGTCAGGTCCAAATTTGATTATTTAAAGGGCACCTTAATGTGCTAAATTATTGCTGAGTGCGACTATATACATCGAACAAATGAAACATATTCTACAATCACATCGCTGAGCAGCTGGATTTTCATCATCAAAGTGAGCATTTGTTTGTGTCAGGTATAAATCGGATCAGTAGCGACGCTAAGATGATGTTTGGGAAGCAACTGGCGATGCCTGTAAAGATCCTCTGGGCATTCGTAACACCAACAATCTTAATAGTAAGTACAATACTGTTCAACAGTGTTATCGAGGTATGAACACACTGCATACTGTACATGATGATCCACAAGACATTCTTCATCTCATGGCCATATTCCTTTAGTGTATGAAGTGTGACAGTAACACCATTCGTCACATATTTACCCAGACTCATCCCCTACCCACCGTAGCTGGGAGGCCAAATTTACAGCAACATCCAATCAGTATATGTCCTGCCAACACCAAGCCTAAAGCAGCACCATTTGCAATGTGTGTCCCTTTCAAATGAAATACCTCCCACCACAACATTTGTCCCCACAAGAAGGAAGCAGCAAACAAACATACTTCATCAGCTCTACACTTCTGAAACTGTATGAAAGCCAAAGGCAGGAACTCTTCCAAAGGCCCTGAAAGACCTTAAGTGTACAACAGAAGCAACACCAACGAAGGTTACGTCTCTTCCCGACACATTAAAACATCTACCTCGAAGTCAGAACGAAAATCAACAACGTCCACATGTCCCGATGACTTAATAAGATACCAGAACATCCCAGATATCCAGACCTAAACCGGAGGGTTGTATCCAGCGCTTATACCTAAACAATCTTTCCTTCCATCCGAGGGTATCAATCATAATATGAATTAATTCCTCAATAATCGTAAAACTCGCAGTTCGGATCTATCTTCATAAGAAACATCCTGAAACATGTCGGTGCTATGAGTATTTTAAACCTACAATATATAACCTCATCTAAATGTATGCAAGTGACAAATCCCTTCTAGTTTCAACAGAAACTAGATGCATGTGTTACAGATTGTACGTTATCGACCATAACATGAACATACGTCAATTATATAGAGACCTCTTCTTATCAACGTTGCCTCTTCATTTTACGTTCAGACAGCTTTCATCCTGACACTTCTCCGCTACCAGCCACCAACCTATGGCAAGTACGTGTTTCCTAGCTACGCCTCTACAATCGGCTGGATCATTGCAGTGCTGCCCCTTCTACCGATACCAGTCTACATGGTCATGACTGTCAGGAAGCACATGACGACCAATTCCCTGAAGAAGGTATGTGTGCTTCTTCATATTCGGCTCTTCCGCGTACTTCTTCCAGATATGTTAGGTTGACCTTAAAGGGGTAGGGTGTTATTTGGGATAATGTTCTATGAGATGGTTCCAAAAATATAAGGCGCCAACTCACGAAAAATACTGTCGGAAATAGAAAAAACATTTTTTTCGCATTGATATGTACAATTTATGTATGCAGTTAATATGTGTAAGTGTGAAATATCTGTTAAACTAAGTTCGGCATAACTACAGTCTCAGTGGTAGGGAGATAGGAAACGTAGAAAAAGGACTTTACTGAGGAGAGATCAAACGACTTATTTCGAACAGACCATGGGTTTATGCAAATTAGTGTGCGATGATATTATATTACAAAGGACAATTTGTAAATGTCCATTTTGAAATTAAACTTGGCTTCATTATAAACGATAGCTGATGTAAAAAAATAGGAATTTGAATACTGAAACTATGAAGGATGTAGCTACCATGGAGTCTCACTATCACTATAAAAATAAACAGGTAGGAGGGGTCGTCTCAAAAGCAAATCCAGGACGGCTGTCGCAGACGGTGGTTGGGGTCGGGATGAGATAAGATAATCATTTAGAGGAATTAAACTGGGAATCAAACAGCATGTCATAACAATTTACAAATAATATCCAGTCCTGTCGATCTTCGGGTGGTCATGCCAACTATATATTTTGAGACATTTAATACGATGGCTGATTTAAGCTTTTCCATGGGTATCATACCCTTTTACGTATCTCAGCATAAACTTTATGATCAACAGATTAGACATATTCAACACACATGAAAAAGCATAAAATATCTTTGAGATGATTTAAGTCTGGGCTAGTACAAGTAGCCGCACATACACACACGCATGCACGTCGTCATATGAGCGAAATATTCTCAAGCTCGACGTTCAACCCAAGTACTTTGTTTCATCGCTATATGGCATATGTGTTGTCCCCAGCCGTGATCGTGCTGGAAAATTGCTAACAGTGTGGTAGAACAATACTCAAACATTCTTTTGCACAGTGGAGTCAGATTTCATGTTCAGCCCAAACATTAGTCTGGTACTCAGTCAACATTTCTGGATAAAGAATGTGAAAGTATGTATCGTAGAATATTCTCTCCAGCACCTGTCAAAACATTAATGTTGATAATGCCTTTACTAATTTGTTTCCTTCCACAGAGTATAAAGATTGCCTTGAGGCCTGATGCTGATTGGCGTCCTGCAAACTCCAGATGAGGAGGATCAACAAACAGCACGACCACCTTTAAAACTTCCAGCAAGGCCATCATCACAAATTTTTTTCTAAAACCATTATTGTGACAATGATATAACACACCCAACAGTAACCTGTTATATAAGTATCAAATTATACAGCAACGCATTAATCGATTGATAAAGCGGTATGTTCTCATTTCGCCTACATCCCATTTCGCCTAGTTTTAAAACAACATGTCATGGTCTGTTGACTGTTGATTACGCAATGGTGAACTAGTGGCACCCCTATGATCTAAAAATGGACTGTTCTAGTTGAAGTAGTTGACAAAAAGAATTTATTTATTTCTGTTACTTATCATTTTCTGATCACATTGAAATGATGGTTTATTTATCTTATATCACATCATATCATCACATGATCTTCTAGTTCAAGTAGTTGAAGGACAAAAAGAAAAGTTTTTTAAAGAATTTATTTCTGTTATTTGTCTGTTACTTATTTATTCTGTTATTTGTCATTTTCCGATCACAATCGTGACATTGTCCATTCTCACTTTAACCTGATAAAGTGACCTGCTGCGTCGAGGGTGAGCCTCTTCCAGAAGCAAGTTGCTCTCTAAGTCTGTCCATGCGACTCTCCATGTTTCGATAGATCCTTGATTTGGGGCGGACAGATGCTCCATGATCGATCTGTCTGCGTGCCAGTCTGTTCGCTGTTTGTCTTTATAGCAATGACGAATTCATATATGTTCGGGTGATGCTTTCTGACGAGTTTCTTGAAGCCGTTGTGAAAACCCTCCAAATGATTGTTGGTTCTGCGTCCTGTATTTTCATGCTGGTTCCAGATACGAGGCGGGAATCTTGCGTCGTAGTCTACCCATGTAGAGGTCATGTAGTCGTTGAAGGCAGCAATACCCTCAACATCTGGAGACGCAGTCAATGTATCCATCCACGCATCATGGACCTGATCCACCGGGAGGAGGGGAAGAGAAGCAGCACGTCGTACATGGGAGTTGAAAGTTGGATTGTTCCTGTAGACGTTGACAAGGCCTTTCTCGGAAACTTGTCTCCAAACAGCTTGTGTATAATGGAAAAAGCATCCACGGATATCAGCACCTGGGAACACTGTTTCGATGGCACCAATGGCAGCAGCTTCGTAGTCTGTTTGCACTATAGACGGGGAGCGATTGACACCGACAGTTGTAAGCAGAATACCCTTTAAGTGAGTAAACAGTCTGATATGTGTCACGGGATTTGCTGGGAAGTAGGGAAAAGGCAACTGGATACATTTAGTCCTGTACAAGGCAGTGCAAAACATATACTTGGGTCCAGAGACTAGGACACACATAACATGTTCCATCCATGTACAGTGTTTCGGCCACAGCAAGGATATCCATTATCTCTGCGGTTGTGAAGATTAAAATCCTGTTGTCATCACCATCGTTTACCACCAGGAACTGCCGGCCGTCTGAAGTCTCTGTCTTAAAAGCTTAAATTTTGTCTCTATTTGTTTGTAATTATTTTAAAAAACACAATCATGCGCAAGTCTTGAGGTTGTCACTTGTGACAACAGATCTTATCCTCTTTACTCAACTACATATTCTTATAACAACTTAGTATTTCACAGTGAGAAATTAACTACATCTCATCATAGCATGCATTAATCCCTGTCATTTTATTTTAACCCTATTTTAACTTCTCAGTGGATGCACTAATCCTGTTTACTCAACTACATATCCTTACTGGGGCGGTGGGGTAGCCTAGTGGTTAAAGCGTTGGCTCATCATGCCGAAGACCCGGGTTCGAATCCCTACATGGGTACAATGTGTGAAGCCCATTTCTGGTGTCCCCCGCCGTTATGTTGCTGGAATATTGCTAAAAGCGGCGTAAAACCAAACTCAGTCAGTCAGTCAGACATATCCTTACAACAACAGTCCATCAAGACTCAGTGAGTCAGGTTCATTATAAGAGTAGGGGTGCATTCTTTAATCCCAATTCGCCTACATTGTTTTTGTAGGCGATTTGAGATGTAGGCGAATAGAGACTAAACCGATAAAGCTGTGGTAATAGAAATATATTTTTGTCGATTTTGTATGCTCCACTTTGTCGTATTTGTTTTACGCACTGCTTGCTCTTGTACACAGCAGATATAAAGCGCATATCATTATAAAACATTGTTATCATAGTTTCATCACAGTAGTGAATCTGCAATCGCATGACTGGATTTCTGGCCAATCACTTGACTGTTTGACACGTGAAGGTCCGGGTTAGAATGAACCTTCAGTAACCCATGCTTGTCGTAAGAGGCGAATGAGGGGTTAGGGTGGTCATGCTCACTGGCCTGGTTGACACATGTCATTGGTTCCAAATTGCATAGATCGATGCTCATGCTGTTGATCCCTGGATTGTCTGGTCCAGACTTGATTATTTACAGACCGCCGCCATATATCTGGAATATTGCTGAGTGCGGCGTAAAACAAAACTCACTCACTAACCCGACTGTTTGGTTTGGTTGGCAGGTGATGCTTGTGGTTTTTGGTGTTGTGAATACATGATTTCCATGTGTCCATTTATACAATTGTTACCGATAATTTGTATTTTACGCTCATCGAAATCTGTTCCGTTGGACATCTAAGACTATTCTGCAGCACTGACATTATATAGTTATTGATATATTAGGCTGAAGAAAACAAGTATGCACCGACTCATCTACAATAGTTTTTGCTGTATTTGAGGTCATTACAATTATGCCTACGGAAACATGTAACTGTCAACAACATTATATTTGATAAAATTAAAGCTATCTGAAAAGTTGTAAAATAATCCTAAATAAACATGTAGCAAACACGTTGCATGATAGTATGCGCGTGGCACGAGCGCCTTGTGCACAATAAACTTACTTTTTGCATGCTGTTGACACCTGAAGTTCACACACCTAATTTGAAAATTGAAGAACGTCTGATTATTCTCTAGCCTCTGAATGTTGTGGAAAACACGTTAATTTCAACCTAAACTGCACGTACGTCATGCCACGGCTTACAGAAAATCAGCGTCTCCGCGCCGTGGGCATGCAGGAGACTGGAATGGCCCCCCAAAAAGTTGTCATACGTTTAGGTGTCCATGGAAACAAGATTTCATCTCAATGGAGACGTTTTCAACATAATGGGAACACGATAGATTTGGCTCGGGCCGACCGTCCACGCGTGACATCAAGTCAGCATGACAACCACATCGGCTGACCCATCCAGGGCATCGACTCCAGACTGCCAGTTTAACTGCACGAACCATTCCTGGCTTACGTTTCTATCAGTTAAAGGACCGCACGGAACCGACTGAGGGAGCACCACATCTGGCCCCGATGGCCAGCAATTCGTCTAATGTTACTCCAACGTCACCGACGGGCACGTCTTGCTTGATACAGACAGCATCTATGGTACAAGAAACAAGAATGGATGGTGTTTTGTTCACTGACGAGTGGAGATGTCATCTGGACAGCTCAAATGACAGGACAAGGGTGTACAGACGGCGAGGTGAACAGTATGCTGACGCGTGCGTTGTTCACAGTGAGGTGACGAAAGCGTTATGGTATGGGTGAACATCACGTCTCATGGTCGGACACAACATTGTCAATGATAATCGGACATGTCTGCGACGCAGGGAAGAGATCATTGGACCTCATGTGCAGCCGTTCATTCAAGGACAGAAACGTAACTTCACGCTTCAGCAAGATAATGCCCGTCGCTCGTGTTGTGACAGAGCTGTTTCTCCGGACCTGTCTCCTATCGAGCATGCTTGGGATTATAAAACTGTATCTATTTACAAAACATATATCAAAATTCATTTAACAGATCTATTTCTTTTACAAAATCAATGATTAAATGATAATTAACATTACTAAAAAGGTCCTTTACTGTTTTGACATTAAAAATATCTATCCCTTATGATGGAGAATTCAACACAGTCAAGCAGGACATGCTTCACCGTGGTTTTCTCATCACACGGGATACAAAACGGAGGATGCTCACCTTTCAATAGGTATGCATGAGTATATCTTGTATGGCCAATGCGACCTCTTCAAATCTGGATTGACAACCCAAGTAGGTGTAACCAATATGGGGTTTTATTTCATGTAATTTGTTAATAACTACTTGGGTGTCCCACTTCTTCTGCATCAGATCCCGGATGTAAGTTCTAATGCTAGCTTTGTAATCAAAATGTGGAATAAGAAGTGGTGTCACAGGTTTGTTGAGTGCTGCCTTAGCAGCAAGATTAGCCAGTGTATTCCCAGAAATGCCAACGTGGCTGGGTAACCAACAAAAGACGATGTCGCATTGGCCAGTAGCAAGCTCATTATACAATTCAATAATTTCTAATGAAAGTGGATGTTTACAAGAAAGATTTTTAATAGCCTGAAGACACGAAAGAGAATCGGAAAAGATGATGTATTGTTTATATTTACGGTGTTTATTTATATATTTAAGAGCAGTTAATATGGCGTTAGCTTCAGCTGTGAAAACAGAGCTATTATTTGGTAGCCGAGAAGATAGTGTTCTGGATCCAATGACAGTGGCACAAGCCACCGCGCCACCATCCCTGGATCCATCTGTAAATAAGGATGTATGTGTATTATATTTATTTCTTAATTGACTAAATTCTTGTTTATACTGTAAATCATTAGTTTCGGATTTTTTAAATGTGGTTAATGTTAAGTCAAAGTCTGGTCTCACCAATTGCCAAGGAGGAGAAGAAAGAAGACGAGAAGGAGATATATTCTCCAGCTCAATTCCGGCAGCAGCAATGAATGGTTTAATTCTGTGTCCAAGAGGCGGAACAAGGGAAGATTTCTTGTTGTATAAATCCTCATAGAGGGGAGTGAAGACACAGTTATATGCAGGGTTAGATTTGTTAGAGTACAGTTTTGTAATATATTGTAAAGATAGTTTTATACGGCGTTGTGCAAGAGATGGCTCATCTGCCTCAACGTAGAGACTATCATTAGAAGAAGTTCTAAATGATCCAAGACAAAGTCTTAGACCTTGGTGGTGGACAGAATCAAGAATTTTGAGGTT